TTAACGGTAATTGGGAAGTACACTCACAATCAATATATGTAAAAAATTGTATCCATACCACATTTGTACACAGACAGGCACTATATTTTGCCGTAACTACTAAAAATATTGAAGTACCTGAAAATGCTGAATGTACCTACAACTTGGTTTTATATGAACTATTATTCAACAGTGCACTATTTTAACTTAAAATACCGGTAAAAACCACTATAAATAGCTTTTAGTTTATTTATAGGTTATTTTAAAATTCATATTTTAATTGTCAATTTCTCGATTTTCCGTCTAGATGTGGTAAAACTAATATTACTTTTGTAAACTATAAATTATAAGGAATAAATCGACATCCATTTCATTGCGTGACGCGAAAATTTGTGGTGGGCCCATTCTCCATACAAAAATTGATTGTCTCCTTTGACGAATTTATAATTAATTATGTACATAGGTACTATGTTATATCAAAAAAGAAAATTCGTATTCGTAGAAGATGATGAATTGTGGATTTTATCGTTGAAATCCCATAGTTTTTTCTGATTCCAGCAGTTCTAAAAACTTTATTGTATTTTCATAATTCCACTCGAAAGGTATTTTGGTAGATCGTACTTATTTAATAACAAGACGGCATGCATGTCCGTTCATTCAGGCGCTTTGCGCGAACTCACTGCCGCTCGCGCTGCCCGTCCTTTGACTTCCGTACGAAAAACCGACATTTGAGCGATCGTCGGGCAGTGGCAGCGGCAGCGGCAGTGTCAGCGCGAGTAGCCTGTTTACACACTGCCCTGCTCACTGCCCTGCTCACTTCCCTGCCCAACAGGGCTCAATGTAAATGGGGCATATGGCAAAACGATGAAGCTCGCGCGTCGAGTTCAAAATTTAGTTACTTTGTCTATTTTGAGTGAGTCTAGAAATGTTCCGATTTGTAAAAGTTTGTTAAAGCTTTTCGTTAATGAATTTATTATTAAGTCATTCGTACACTTCATAACATTTGTACCAATACCATCCAGACCAATAACACTGTTTGAATCAAGTTTGTTAATAGTGTTAAGGATTTCTTCTCACTCACCGGGATAGCGACAAGCTCGACAGTTGTCGACGGTGCCATCCCTTAGGATGTGCCTCCGATAGTTGTTGGTTTTAATAACCTGATCCTGTATTGCACAGACAAAATCCTTGGTTTTCCCGAAGATGTCACTGAAACACAGCCAGTGTAGGGAGGCAACTGTATCTACGAAAGCTTCTTGAAGAGCTTTGTAGAACATCCTGTGGAGCTTCTTCTCCTTCCATACAGTCTCCCGGTAGGAAATGCGCTGCACTGCCGGGTCCTGTCATTACTCGTGGCTAAGGACAGAGGGGTAAGCCCTTTATCACAGGAAATAACGTTCTTGTAGAATGGACCATCCGATCTCGTCAGAAAGTAATTACGGAGGCTGTACACTTCGCAATTATGCATGGTAAGCTCGCTTAAAAAGCCACGCCCACCATGTTTTTGCGACAAATACAGCCTTATTACCGACGAACTCGGATGATACATTCTATCGGACGTCTAGGTAGTGCGGACTTTTCTATCCAGGGCGTTAAGTTCAGTCTGAGTCCACCTGAGTATGCCAAAGGTATATATGAGGGCAGGCATGGGCCAGCCGTTATGTGCGTGTGTCTTATTTACGCCGACAAAAGGCTGTTATGCACTTTGGTCAAGCATGCATAAAACACATCTCAAACTGACTTTTTCATTCTCACCTCATCGATACCCATGTTCTGTCTACACTTTGCCTACCGGTACGAGGGCAGCCTCGTACCGGTAGGCGAATTGTAGGGCTCGAGAACCTTTTTTCCCGAACAGTTGTCGGTTCTTCGAGCTATATGGCCGGCCCATTGCCACTTCAACTTACTAATCCGTTGGGCTATGTCGGTCACTCTGGTTCTACTGCGGATATACTCATTTCTAAGTTTATCGCGCAGAGAAACTCTGAGCATAGCCCTCTCCATAGCTCGCTGAGCGACTTTGAGCGTCCTCATACGGCCAGCAGTGAAGGACCACGTCTCGATTCCATAGGTCATCACTAGCTACACGCACTGGTTGTACAACTTAGTTTTCAGGTTTTGAGGTATACCTGACGAGAAGATGTGTCGTAATTTCCCGAACTTGGCTGGGCAGCGTTCGAGAAATCTAGTCCAATTCAATCCCCAGAAGACACAAGTTTGCGCTTTAACCGCTAAAAAACCCTTTGTCGTATCTCCTCTGTTTGAAGGCATTCCCTTGCTGCCTCAGCTAGCCTCAGAATCGTCGGTGTCGACATATCGGTCACATGGAGGGGAAGGCCATAATAGCCTCAGAAAAGCTTGGTGTGCTCAGCTTTTCGAGACAGTATTTCATGCGCGCACATCGCTCGCAACTTAACAAACTTTTTTTAACACGTGGTAGAGCCATTCTGCAGTTTTATTAGTAGTATAGTTGTAGCACGAAAGGGTCGGCTCGACCGGGGAAGGACCACGCTCTTACAGAATACCAGCGTAAAATAGTAGCTTAATGCTGATGTATTTCGTATGGTGAGTGTAGAGAATCGGAGACCCTTTTTATTGGAAACGAGGCATTCCATCCTAGACCTCACGGGTGACAACGCATCTGCATTTTGATTTGTAATCGAGGATAGATGTAGATGTCTATGGGCCACAGCAACCACTTACCATCAGGTGGACTGTGTGCTCGTTTGTCACCCTATCCTATAAAAAAAACGCAAGTTCGGCCTCACAGGGAATACTGTTCTCGTCTCTGGGACGGGGCACCATAGTGTCAGCTCCTTACACTTGACAGCATCCAGCGCAGAGCGATTAGAATTGTCGACGACCGAGTTCTTTCTGATCGGCTCGATTCACTGGCGCTGCGTAGGGATGTTGCATCCCTTTGCGTTTTCTATCGAATTTACTGTGGGGAGTGTTCCGAGGAATTATTTAGATTAGTTCCAGCCGCCAAATTTCTCGAACGCACATTGCGTCAAAATTCTCGATAGAGTTTTCTCGAGGAGTTTTCTTCCTCGTACAACTTCTCTGTGGAATTGTTTACCATCGCCGACTTTTCCGGACTGATACGACTTAGGGACCTTCAAGAAAAGAGCTTACTTCTTTCTCAAAGGCCGGCAACGCATCTGAAATCCCCCTGGTGTTGCGGTTGTTCCTGGGCGGCGGTAGTCACCATTAGATGAGCCGCATGCTCGTTTGCCCCCTCTTCTATAAAAAAAAACATAATGATTTCTTATATTTACGCGAACACTACACATTGATTAAAACTATTTTTACGGATTTTATCGCGTTTATTTTACTTTTAATAACTTTTTTTTTAATTCCCGACGTTTCGGACGCTTTCCAGCACCCATGGTCACGGGGGACTGAGATGACTGACGTCCCTATGTCGCGTAAAAGAACATATAGCTAATGTGAAGCATCAACGTTCCGGGAATCATATCCTAGACGGCCCCAACCATTACATCAGATTTGATAGACCATAAATCCTCGCGAAAGAACACCGATTACTACCAAGGATGATACGTGTGGCTATTGAAATTAAAAAAACATCCTAATTTCAATAGAGAAGGAGGCTGGGTAATACCACCTGCTTGGGATCCTATAATCAATAAAATTAAAACTAAACCCAAGCATACCACTGCAAGACCTCAGGACATAGTCAGTTCATTTTGCATAGATCGGACCATAAACAATAATTAAAAAAGCTGAAGGTACTCCGGGTTTAACAATGACATCGGGACGTCAGTCATCTCAGTCCCCCGTGACCATGGGTGCTGGAAAGCGCCTGAAACGTCGGGAATTAAAAATAAAAGTAATTAAAGGTAAAATATACGCGATAAAATCCGTAAAAGTAGTTTTAATAAAAAAACATAGTAGCGAAAATATGGTCAGTCGATCCTAATCAGGATAGGTACTTCACCTATGTAACTTAATGACCATTTGGCAAAGCGTTTTTTACTCTAAATATATACCCTTAGTAAGAACGGAAAGTCCGCCGTGAAGCAGGAGGGGAAAATATGCAAGGTAATACGAACACTCGCGCGCAGCGATAATGATTTATTTTTCTTGCGTGCGCGATTTATTTAATTAATAATAATTATGTAAGCTACTGAACGTCGGCAAGCAGTCAACATCAAATTAGTGCAACTTCTGTACGTAGTACTATTATTTATTGTGTGGTCATACCCATATCAGTATGTTTCAGCCTCTGAAAGGGTTATTGTTGATATATCCTTATGTTGAAAGGTATAGATAAGTCTATGCCGTCAGAATAAGTGACCCTACCCCTTTCAACATGAAAGAACGCGCACTTTTTTTACGTTTTTTTTTACGTGGTAGAGCCACGCTGCAGCTATATAGTTGTAGCACGAATGGGTCGGCTCGACCGGGGAGGGACCACGCTCTCACAGAATACCAGCGTGAAATAGCAGCTTAATGCTGCTGTGTTTCGTATGGTGAGTGTAGAGAACCGGAGACCCGTTTTACTGGAATCAAGGCATTCCATCTTAGTCCTCAAGGGTGATAACGCATCTGCATTTTGACTCTTAATCGAGGTCAAATGGAGATGTCTATGGGCCACAGAATCCACTTACCATCAGGTGGACTATGTTCGTTTGTCACCCTCAATCTATAAAAAAAAAACTTATCCGTCCTCAGCTCATTTTTTATAGAATTGCTAAAACCACAGGTGATGCTTAGCAATTCCGTAACATGGGATTATTATTCTTATATTCCATGGGATGGAATGTTATTTATTAATATTAATGAATTAACACACTTGTAGATAAAAGCTGACGCATGTGTATATTAGGGTTAATCTATTCTTAGAAGCCGTTCACTGAAGGAGTATCAATCACTTTTTGTGGTAACTTATTCCAATTAGTGACAACGCAATTTGTAACAAAATGCTTGATTCGACTTGACAGGCCTATGGCAGAGTTTAAGTTGATGCCCTTCTCACATAGTGTGATGTGTTTCAGTACATGGGCCCCGGACTGGTGGCGGTGAGCGGGCGCTCGGTGCTGGAGGCGGGCTGGCGTGGGCGCGTGCCGGTGGCGGCGCATACGGGCGCCGTGTTCCCCGGCGAGACCGTGCCCATGCTGGTGCCCGACCCGCACAATGCAGAAATACTAGCGCAGGCTATCAGCCACGACAAGCTCTTCGGCCTGCTCTGCCCTGAGTATGTACACACCACTACCGCTGCTGCTCCTTGTATAATTCGAGTCAAAGATGGTATTTGTACTAAACATTGACGCGATAAAACTAATAGATAAGTTATTAATTAAAATGTAAAGCTGCCAAGCTTATAGAACAGTATCTGGGGGCACGGCAGTGCCCCCGCCAAGTCGAGCAAAAAAGCGGCACGGCCGTACCATCTTTTCTCGAAGCAATCCAGGTCATTTTCGACGTCCTATAACTTCGTGGTCAATAAATCTAGAAGCCTGAATTTTCAGTAACCGAGTAAGCATTGTATAGATATGGTATATTTCAAATTTCATTCAATTTGAACCAGTAGTTTAAGAATTGTAACCAGTTAAACTTTCTTAATTTTGTCACTCACTGACTGACCGATCATCAAAACTCTAAGGCACTTCTAGCAGACATAGAAGCTTCAAATTTAGAATGCAATTAGTGTTTAGAGTATAAATCAAGGAAAAATTAAAACATTTGTTAATTTCTGTCCAGTTTTCTAGATACACTAACTGCATAAATAACTTTGTAATCCCTTATAAATATATAGAATTACAAAGTTACATTTGCAGTGAATGAACCAGTGTACTTGTATATGTATTACAGGTGTACATAGGTACGTTGTTGGTACTCAAGAAGTAGAAGGTACTGGAAAGGTGAAAAATTAAGACTATCTTATATACAAAAAGAAATGAGATGCAATTAAAAACATAACTTGTAAAAAAAACCAAGTCTCGCAACTCAGTTCTTCTACCGTAAAAAGTTGTGAGATCCATGTAATACCAAGTCGGTTAATTTATTCAGATCCTACTTAAGGGTCCTTCTACTTTTACGGATTTTATCGCGTTTTATTTATATTAATTTTAATACCCGACGTTTCGAGTGCTTTCCAGCACCCATGGTCACGGGGGACTGAGGTGACTGACGTCCCGATGTCAAAGTTAACCCGGAGTACCTTCAGCTTTTTAATTATTGTCTTTGGTCCTATCTACGCAGAATGAACTAACTGTATTTTGAAGTCTTGCAGTGGTATGCTTGGGTTTAGTTTTAATTTTATTAATTATAGGATCCCAAGCAGGTGGTAGTACCCAGCCTCCTTCTCTATTAAATTAGGATGTTTTTTAATTTCAATAGCCTCACGTATCATCCTTGGTAGGAATCGATGTTCTTTCGCGAGGATTTGTGGTCTATCAAATCTGATGTAATGGTTGGGGCCATCTAGAATATGATCGCAAACTGCAGACTTGCCGGAACGTTGATGCTTCACGTCAGCTATGTGTTCTTTTACGCGGGTTCTAATTGATCTCTTTGTTTGCCCTATATATGAGAGACCACAATCACAATCAAGCTTGTACACTCCTGCATCTTGTAGAGGAATATGACACTTGACGGATGGTAAGAACTGACTCTTCGGCGGCTTGTGGAATGTTGTAATAGAAGCTTGCTTCAAGATGTAGCCAATCTTGTCTGTGACACCTCTGACATATGGTAGTATAGCAGGCACACGCTCGACTGTGGCCGGCTTCACTCGGTCACTGTGACGGAGGCGCGGGACCCGAAGCTTGTTGTCGTGCTGAAGCTCGGCGGCCAGGTGTTTGCTGTCACAGATCCCTCGTGCTCTCTGAAACAAAGGTTTGCCCACGGTAGCTAACTGTGAAGGATGATGGTGAGATTCACCATTTAAGTATCGGTTTGTATGGGTCTTTTTTTCTATACACAGTATGACCTATGGTGTTGTTAGGATTTCGGATGACTAACACATCTAGGAAAGCTAAGGAATTATTTACCTCTAACTCCATAGTAAATTGAATTTTAGGGTTTATGGAATTAAGATGTTCTAAAAATGCAGTTACTTTGTCTGATGGTAAAATTGTGAAAGTATCGTCTACGTACCGCTTGTAGAACCTTGGGGTAACAGGTGCAGTAAGGAGGGCTTTCTCCTCAAAGTCTTCCATGAATATATCGGCGACAATGGGAGATACAGGTGAGCCCATCGCAACACCATCTACTTGCTTGTAAAACTCTTCCTTCCACAATAGATAGCCAGATGTAAGGCAATGTCTTAGTAGTACTGCATATTCTAGTGGCATGTTATTTTCATCTAGTTTCCTAGTTATAATTGAGATGCAGTCTTCAACAAGTAGGCATGTAAATAGAGACTGAACATCAAAATTGACCATGGTTTCATTGTCAGCAAGACGTAGGTCTTTTATCTCACTGACAAAATGGTATGAATCCTTAGTATGTGCTCTTGTGTGTCCTCTGAGTGGTGATAATATTTTGGCCAAGTGTTGAGCCAATCTGTACGTTGGCGAATCGATTTGACTCACTATTGGACGTAATGGAGCGTTAGGTTTGTGTATTTTTTGGTAACCCATACAACTTAGGAGGTTTTGCACACGAAGGTATCATCGAATTGACGTCTAGATTCAATTTCTCGGAGAATTTCTTAATTAGATCGCTAGTTGTTTTAAGCGTATTAGTTGTGGGGTCTGTTTTGACCTTACGGTATGTACTTTCATCCGACAAAAATTGTTGTATTTTAAAATTGTAATCCGACGTATCCATTACAACCGTAGCATTTCCTTCATCTGCGCGGAGAATCGTAAGGTCTGGTCTGTTGCGTAAGGTTTTTAACGCGTTAAATTCATTTTTGGGAAGATTTAATTTCGGCGCTGTACTTCGACGTAACATAGACGAAATGTCTTGGCGTATGGCCTCTAAATCTTCATTACCAATATTATTTTTATACAGACAATCCTCAACACTACAGATAATGTCTTCATACGGGATTCTTCGCGGTGTAATTGCATAATTAAAACCTCTTCCTAAAACTTTTAATGTGGCGTCGTCCAGAGTATGTTTTGACAGGTTATAGACCACGCCTTGTTTACTATTCGTGTCTGTGGTCGTTTCGTTCTTACGTTGCCATTGATGTTGGACATTTGATTTAGTTATTAATTTTTGGTATTTATCAATATGTTTATTTTTGCATTCATTGTATTTAGTTGTTTCGCGTTTATCTAAAGTTTCCATGCAATTCTTATAATCAAATGTCGATAAATCTGTCTTTAATTCACTGGACGAATTGTCTATGGTTTTGTTTATGAAACATAGATCGGTACGTTTTTGCTGAATCACTGTTATTAACAACTTTTTACTCGCCTGATTTAAGATCTTGAGTTAAAGACAGTTTTATCGACATTTGATTATAAGAATTGCATGGAAACTTTAGATAAACGCGAAACAACTAAATACAATGAATGCAAAAATAAACATATTGATAAATACCGAAAATTAATAACTAAATCAAATGTCCAACATCAATGGCAACGTAAGAACGAAACGACCACAGACACGAATAGTAAACAAGGCGTGGTCTATAACCTGTCAAAACATACTCTGGACGACGCCACATTAAAAGTTTTAGGAAGAGGTTTTAAATATGCAATTACACCGCGAAGAATCCCGTATGAAGACATTATCTGTAGTGTTGAGGATTGTCTGTATAAAAATAATATTGGTAATGAAGATTTAGAGGCCATACGCCAAGACATTTCGTCTATGTTACGTCGAAGTACAGCGCCGAAATTAAATCTTCCCAAAAATGAATTTAACGCGTTAAAAACCTTACGCAACAGACCAGACCTTACGATTCTCCGCGCAGATAAAGGAAATGCTACGGTTGTAATGGATACGTCGGATTAAAACAACTAGCGATCTAATTAAGAAATACTCCGAGAAATTAAATCTAGACGTCAATTCGATGATACCTTCGTGTGCAAAAGCTCCCAAGTTGTATGGGTTACCAAAAATACACAAACCTAACGCTCCATTACGTCCAATAGTGAGTCAAATCGATTCGCCAACGTACAGATTGGCTCAACACTTGGCCAAAATATTATCACCACTCAGAGGACACACAAGAGCACATACTGAGGATTCATACCATTTTGTCAGTGAGATAAAAGACCTACGTCTTGCTGACAATGAAACCATGGTCAGTTTTGATGTTCAGTCTCTATTTACATGCCTACCTGTTGAAGACTGCATCTCAATTATAACTAGGAAACTAGATGAAAATAACATGCCACCAGAATATGCAGTACTACTAAGACATTGCCTTACATCTGGCTATCTATTGTGGAAGGAAGAGTTTTACAAGCAAGTAGATGGTGTTGCGATGGGCTCACCTGTATCTCCCATTGTCGCCGATATATTCATGGAAGACTTTGAGGAGAAAGCCCTCCTTAGTGCACCTGTTACCCCAAGGTTCTACAAGCGGTATGTAGACGATACTTTCACAATTTTACCATCAGACAAAGTAACTGCATTTTTAGAACATCTTAATTCCATAAACCCTAAAATTCAATTCAATTTACTATGGAGTTAGAGGCAAATAATTCCTTAGCTTTCCTAGATGTGTTAGTCATCCGAAATCCTAACAACACCATAGGTCATACTGTGTATAGAAAAAAGACCCATACAAACCGATACTTAAATGGTGAATCTCACCATCATCCTTCACAGTTAGCTACCGTGGGCAAACCTTTGTTTCAGAGAGCACGAGGGATCTGTGACAGCAAACACCTGGCCGCCGAGCTTCAGCACGTCAAGCAGGTTCTGCACGACAACAAGCTTCGGGTCCCGCGCCTCCGTCACAGTGACCGAGTGAAGCCGGCCACAGTCGAGCGTGTGCCTGCTATACTACCATATGTCAGAGGTGTCACAGACAAGATTGGCTACATCTTGAAGCGAGCTTCTATTAGAACATTCTACAAGCCGCCGAAGGCAGTTCTTACCATCCGTCAAGTGTCATATTCCTCTACAAGATGCAGGAGTGTACAAGCTTGATTGTGATTGTGGTCTCTCATATATAGGGCAAACAAAGAGATCAATTAGAACCTGCGTAAAAGAACACATAGCTGACGTGAAGCATCAACGTTCCGGGAAGTCTGCAGTTTGCGATCATATTCTAGATGGCCCCAACCATTACATCAGATTTGATAGACCACAAATCCTCGCGAAAGAACATCGATTCCTACCAAGGATGATACGTGAGGCTATTGAAATTAAAAAACATCCTAATTCAATAGAGAAGGAGGCTGGGTACTACCACCTGCTTGGGATCCTATAATTAATAAAATTAAAACTAAACCCAAGCATACCACTGCAAGACTTCAAAATACATTTAGTGCATTCTGCGTAGAACGGACCAAAGACAATAATTAAAAAGCTGAAGGTACTCCGGGTTAACTTTGACATCGGGACGTCAGTCACCTCAGTCCCCCGTGACCATGGGTGCTGGAAAGCACTCGAAACGTCGGGTATTAAAATTAATATAAATAAAACGCGATAAAATCCGTAAAAGTAGTTTTAATCAATGTAGTGTTCGCGTAAATATAAGAAATCATTAAGGGTCCTTCTGTTTTAAGTTATTACGTAATTACCTAACCTAACAACATTTTATAGTGACCATATCAATTTTAAAAGTCTTTTATATTTTAAATATATAGATTGACTTGGCAATCGCATTAAGCAATCTAATTTAATATAATACGTAGTACTTGTGAGATACATTGTGGTTTCATGCGATGGCCAAGTCAATCTATATATTTAAAACATAAAAGACTTTTAACATTGATATGGTCACTATAAAATGTTGTTAGGTTAGGTAATTACGTAATAATTTAAAACAGAAGGACCCTTAAGTAGGAACTGAATAAATTAACCTACTTGGTATTACATGGATCTCACAACTTTTTACGGTAGAAGAACTGAGTTGCGAGACTTGGTTTTTTTTTACAAGTTATGTTTTTAATTGCATTTATTTACCTTGATTGATCAAGTTGTTATCTGTCTTTATAATATTTTTATATAATGCTATCTTAGGTTTTATATAGTGACATTCTATATTATATTCATAGTAGAGAAAGTTCCTAGAGAGTAGGTAAACTGGGTATTTTTAAAGTGGAACATCTTAAATTTGATGGTAAGATCACAAACTCAATTGTATAGCGATTAATATAAATATTTATAGAAATAGAATTTTGAAACAGGAAATAAGAGCACAGATTACTATTTCGTAACCATTTAACGATTTTATACTTTGAAATTTTATGGTGATGGTACTAATTACCGATTGTGCAATGAACTAATCTTGTGATGAGATCTGTTGCACCATTCCCATGTATTTCATACCGCAAAACAAACCTACCGAACCAAAACTAAAATATGTACATTTGAATAAATATGTTTGAAGAGTTATCATTTGAATGAATGAAATGTGTGTGTCATATTCAGTAATTTATGGTGTATGTGCTGTGCAGCGAGAGCGGCACCATGGTGTCGGGGTACGGCGTGCTGTGCGAAGTGTTCGAGGCAGGGCAGGGGGAGGGTGCGTTTGGGGGGGTGGGGGAACATCGCTGAGCGGGGCGAGAGGCGGGCCGACGACTTGCTCACGTTCAAAGCGCGTGCCACACACCGCTTTCGCCTGCTCGACACGCCCAGGCGCGCGGTGCCCATGCACGCGTACACGAGGTCAGAATACAATACAATTATTTCTATTCAATAAAGATTACAAGTATACCTATTGAAAGTCAAAAAACTCAGCGGGACTTTTTTTTAACGTTAATTTAAATTATAATATTTTGTACAATTAAGTTTTTTTTTTTGTTGTTTAAGTATTGCCTTATTATTCATTGCAGTGGTCGCGCCTTATAAAAAAACGTAAATGGTCGCATGCATTACGTATATAGTCCAACTTAAAATAAGAAGAAAGCTTTAAAATATTAACTAAAATGTATTTTTTGTATATAAATGTATTTGTATTTGTACAGAGTAACGTTTAGTCAACGGTTAATCGTATTTAATAAACAAAAAACATTTATACGTCTTTTTTATAGTCAAATTATAATATTTATAAATACTTTTACATATTAATATATGAAAATATCACATTAATTTCAAAGTTTGATCAAAAATCAGTTTACATATTATTTTGTAATCATTTGGTTCAAGAAATATCTAAATTTGAGATTATTTTACAATGGTTTACTATTGTAATCCATGCGACCACTGGTAGGGTAAGTGATAAATGAAAATGGTGTCATATTGATGTGTGATGTTACTGTGATGTGCGGATCGATATTGATAGTTTTTCATTATTATTCATTGAAGAAGCATTAAAATTATCATCAAATA